ATTCTGGTCGCGCAATTGCAATTCCCCAAGAAACCGGCATTCAAAAGATCATGCTGCATTGTGACGGGGTTCTGTGCGACGTTGTGTGAACACACGGAAAAATAAAGCGCATTAGGACGGGATTGAGTGTGGATTCTGACTCCTTTGGGCCCCGTGTGATAAGATCCATAATATGTTAATTTATCATCAATGCCGTATCCCAGACTTGAGACAATCACTTGAACAGGGCTGAAGCTCAGTGGTAGACTACATACTTTGGATGTTAAAAGTTCCTAGGCCCAGTTCTTAGCCTCTTCAGGTAGGACTGGAAAGATTCCTGCCTCAGACCTAGAGAAGGGCTGACAGCCAGTGAGAGGAACCTTTCACATCCCTCCAAATGTGCTGGACTACAACTTCCATCACTCCCAGATAGTATGACTGTTGTTGTAGTTCAATGCATCTGAAGGACATTAGTTTGAAACAGAATGCTGTAAGTTTCTTATGCATGCTTATGCATTCAATATGTTTCCAGATGGACATTTTAGTCTGATGTGCCAGCATGGTGTAGTGGTTTGAGAATTGGGCTAGGACTTTGGAGACCAGGGTTTGATTCCCCCTATGGCCAATAAACCCACTGGGTGATCCTGGGTCAGTCACAGTCACTCAGCCTCAGGGGAATGCAACGGCAAACCTCCTCTGAATATGTCTTGCCAAGAAAGCCCCATGAAAGACTTTTAGTCTGAAATGACTTGAAGGCACACAACAACAACAACATCTACATTTAGTTCACAGTCACAGAAGTGGAGTTGTGTAAATGTAACCCATGCTGTTATTTAATGACTCATCCAGACTGATTAAAAAGACTAGAAATTCCCTGATTTTGTTCCTGTTCTTTCTGATTTTATTTTGGAGATCTATCATGTTATACTTATCCCACAATATTTTCTGTCAGCTCCTGGTAATGGTCAGAGATTTTTTTTACACCAGCTCCCCAGGTCAATTTATTTTAACTCAATATAAAATTGGAACAGTAACAAAACATTGGACTTTTCAATCGGCCTGGATGTGCCCTAAGAACCCTGCTGCTAAGACACCACAATTTCATTAGTGTAGGAAATGAAAACATGCCAGTTTGGAGACAGTTATTTTCACACAGAGCTTCATTAGTCTCATGGTGTTGCTGTAGTCTTCTGCAAGCCAGTCTTCATAACCCTGCCTTTCTGCCCTATGCCCTTCCCAGAATGCCTTTCTTTAGTACAGTCTTTAGTGCGGTCTTTAGTACGGAGCAGGAATATCCGTGGGCAGAGATAATAAATACCACTGCACTGTCATGGACAGTGCACAGTAGGAGTTCCCAAACCAGGTATTGGGTTACAATCTCCAGTTCTGAATGGGGTCACACTCTCCACTAAGGACTGTGTTCGAAGTCTGGGGGTGCTCCTAGACTTGTCACTTCACATAGACCAGGTGAATATGACATTCAGGAGTGCCCATTGTCAGCTTCGGCTGATATACCAGCTGCGCCCTTTCCTGGAAGTAAGGGACCTAGAAACTGTAGTACATGCACTGGTAACCTCACGACGACTTCTGCAATGCACTCTACATAGGGCTACCCTTATACCTAACTCAGAAAATGCAACTAGTACAAAATATGGCAGCCAGGCTGATCACTGGTAAATCTAAGAGTAATCACATTACACCTATTCTGAAATCTCTTCACTGTCTGTCGATTGGTTTCCGAGCACAGTATAAGGTGTTGATGATTACCTTTAAAGCCCTACATGGCCTGGGTCCAACCTACCTAAGGGATCGCTTTCTATACAATCCGCCCTGCACCCTCAGGTCCTCTGGGAGGAATTTGCTGCAACCGATAAAAAATAGATTAGCAGTAGCCTCCCAGAGGATGTTTTCTGCCACTGCCCCCAGATTGTGGAACGCCTTGCCAGAGGAGCTCCATCAAATGACCAACTTGAACAGTTTTTAAAAAGCTGTCAAGACGCATCTCTTCTGGCAGGCCTTCCCAGAATAGATTACTCCACCTTAATCTGTGTTGCTCCCCGCTATACACCCTCTCTATATACGTATTGGTGTATATAGAGAGGGCGTATAGAATGCATGCTGTTTTTAATCTTATGTTCTGTTTTAATATTGTATTTATTCTTTTAAAGGAGGGTGAATTGTTATATTGTTATTGTTTTATTTTTAATGTAAGTTATATTTTATTCAATTATCTCTTATATTTGTAAGCCACCTTGATTGCTCTGACAAAAGGCAGGATATAAGAATAAAGTTATTATTATAATTACTATTAGTAGTAGTAGTAGTAGTAGTTATTTCAGTCTGTATTTTTTAAAAAAAACAATTTTCAATTGTGCAATCACAGCAATTGATTAAGTAAAGAAAAGAATAAAGAAATTGGGAAAAAGAGAGAAAAACAGCCTGCAAAGAAAGGGGGGCATAGAAAAGCATAATCACTCCCACTTGCTCAAATTCCTCCCAGCATGTCTGCTGATGGGAGGAACTTATCAAATGTGAATCACCAGTGGAAAATCAGCGTAGTTGGGAGGCATTGATGGGTTTTGCCCATCAATGAAAAGGATGAAAATGGATAAAAAACGAAGCAGCTACAGGACAGACATGATGTCATGCGATAAGGTATGGCCACCAACACTACTATCCTGCTGTAATTCCACCTTGGCAGCCTTAGGTGATAAAGTCCTATGAGTTGAGTGTAACAGGAGAAAACTCTAAAAAACAACTCCTTTGAGCAGTCAACCGAGAATCAATTGCCTCCTTCCTTTCTCTTTGCTGCAAAAGCAAAGAGAGTAGACTGTTTTCCCTTAGATGGCTTGTCAGCAGGGACTTAAAGACTGCTCCTGAGCATAACAGAACTGGACTGTTTTTGGATATTACCACCATTAAAGAGAACCATTCAATACACCAACACTGTGGAAAGAACTATGAGATTTCTCTCAAGGACTTGTTCTTTGAATTTTATGCTATTTATAATACAGTGGTACCTCTACTTACAAAATTAATCCGTTCTACAGCCCATTTCTTAAGTAGAAAATTTCATAAG